ATGGTATTCACTGAATGAATTGGAATGTCACTCTGAATAGTTTATCTAAATTCCAACTTTCTCTTTATGTTGCATGGCTGAGCGAAGTGGAATATCACTTTGAATAGTTTATCAGGAATTCTAAAATTCTCTCCAGACTGAAGTGTTGACCAGCCAACCACGCAGACTTGTCTCGTTGGTAGCAAATGATCGTAAGGTTAACCCTTTTCATTCAACGATATTCCTAAAGAATTCCACATAGCTGGCATTCCTAAAGATATCCACATAGCTGGCATTCCTAAAGAATTCCACACAGCTGGCATTCCTAAAGAATTCCACACAGCTGGCATTCCTAAAGAATTCCACATAGCTGGTATTCCTAAAGAATTCCTCAACTATGACATTTTAACAAAGGCCGCATTCGACTCGATCCGTGTCTGGGATGACAGTCACCGTCTCCAGCAATCTATGAATTTACCTTAGTGTCTGTTTGACACATCTTCTATCACCTTTCAATGATCGGCCAGTTTATCAATGATGCCTAACACATGTAACCGCCACAGGTTCATTAACAACTTCAGAAATCTCTCCCGTCACGTTTATCGTGTCGGCCATTTTGACGTCTTGTACTTGATGTAAGTGTAATACGACACGCTGTCATTGTGACTGACTCACTGAGGTAGTTCTTAACAGACCTTTCTCATCTAATGAGGATATTATTTGAGTACATTTCTTCTAAAGAAACTACAAAAGTTGTCCCTGTTGAGCATAGATACGCTCATGTCACCTCTCGTTTTGAGGAACTATTTTATTACGCGATACAGCTGGTTGTTATATGGCTGTCACATGAAGTCACACGTACTAACTATAATTGTGTGTAGATCAAGGTCTACGTCACACAAAGTGAAGGTCAATTCAGGAAGTCATTGTTGTGAAAACGTATTACTAATTTTGTTTTCATAATATTTTTGTTTTCTACTTGTATATTACATATATTTTAAACTGAAATAGGCCATATTCTCATTCCTGATTTTGAAGGTACCACACGAAAATTAGAATTTGTTTTACCTTCTGGATTACACATGTCCCAGTATAGGTACTTGCATCAATAGGTATTTATGCTACAAAATGGCTTTGCGCCGAGTTGCCGTGTTGATCTTCTGGATCAAAGTTATTTTGTAACAAACATGTATCTGAGGGAGATGCCGTCATATAGCTGGAATATTGCTGAGTGCGGCGTTAAAAGACATTTGCAGCCAGTTGTCTGTGTGATGTTACAAGCTTGCAAAAGAAACAAGACATTGTCGAATTTCCTACGTTAATTCAAGGTTAGTAACAGACATTAATATGGTAAACTTATGTTGAGGTGGATAGATATAGTATTTATCACGAATATATATTTTACGCACATGTTTACAGAAATGATGAAACGCAATAACAAGATGTTTAATCAACTTTCGAAATCAGAAAAGATGTGTCTTTACGTCCAAGTCCATCTACAAACACATCAGATATGATTCGAACCTGTCCGATGACATTGTGTCTGCCTAAATACCCAGAACAACTTCATTTGATTTTTGTGGCCATTTTGCCAAATATACCGTATTTCCTCTATTAGACGTCCGGGCTTCTATTTATTTCGGACAAGCCTTTGACCCGGCGTCAATTAGGGCCCGGCGTCTATTGGAGGCCCGGCTTCTATTAATAGAGAAAGGGAGTCTTCATTATGTAATTTTGGTCCCAAAAAGGGATCATTAATTGTATCAATTGATCGACCCGGCGTCTATTAGAGGCCCGGCTTCTATTTTTTGCACTGAACAATTGACCCGGCTTCTATTAGCGGCCCGGCGTCTAATAGAGAAAAAACGGTAACAAAAAGTTGAATGTGCGTTTTCAAAAAGTCCAATATATCCACAAGAGCGCACTTCATCTATTCTAAGGTTTCCTGGGTGCCGTTGTACAAAGCGTGCTTAGCGCTAAGGTGATCGTAACTCCCATACTTTTATTTTAATTAGACTTACGACAGTCGTAGCCCTAAGGTTGTGTTTGTACAACGGCACCCTGGTCTGTTAAGTTATCTACCGGTTTCTATGTTCAAGTGACGTGAGTTCGCTCTGACCTGTGCCAACGCAATACGCAATGTATTTACAGTGACCTTGTACGAACACCGCACTCGTCCGTTGATACGTTGGTTGGTTGGTTTGTTGTTTAACGCCGCACTCAGCAATATTCCAGCTATCTGACGGCGGTCTGTAAATAATCGAGTCTGGACAAGACAATCCAGTGATTAATATCATGAGCATCGATCCACGCAATTGGGATCAATGACATGGATCAACCAAGTCAGTGAGCCTGACCACCCGATCCCGTTAGTCGCCTTTTACGACAAGCATAGTCGCCTTTTACGGCAAGCATGGGTTGCAAGACCTATTCTACCCCGGAATCTTCACGGGTCCCGTTGATACGAGTTCAGACACCTGTGTCGCTTTGACTCTTGCTTTCAAATGATGGTCTCAAGCTACACATCTACGATGCCAAACCTCAACTTTCAAGTATGTTTAAAATTGAGATAATGTAGCGTTATGCAGTATTGAGGTTGACACCGTTTTAACTAGATTTCAATGTGAGCCAAATGTGCGAGGAAGGCCCAAACTTGTGTGATCTTAGACGTTTATCACGTTGATGAAACAGACCAGCTCGGACATGGTGTTGACAAACCTGGACCCTCCCGGTCAGTATGACACGTGACACTGAGGCGAGTGGACGTGTTGGTCGGAGCTCCGCATGTTACTTCGAACTCGTTACTATATTGTCAAATTAGTAACATAAAGTGGCCGTACCAACCAAACTACTGTTCCTGATAAACACCTAATAGAATTAGCGCAGGAAAATATCTACATTCATTTTAATTCAAATGTTTTAACCTGTCTGAAGACCAAGTGACGACCAAGGTGAAAACGGACAAGCGTGACTGGACGTGGACCCCCTATCTCCCCACCTCAAACAAGAAAGTGATACACAGTATGTATTGGTGATATCGCGAGTGTGTATTCACAGACTTTAACATTCCACGGTTAAAATAGTGAAGGTTTTGAGTTTATATTTGATATCGTCACACCACGTGCTTTGAAGTTCGCCTGATAATACGTGAAGCACGTGCAAGGCGGGAACATTTGTTGACAGTGCGGATTTGCCTCCTACAGTCGTTGACGCGTCATCTAAATGAGGGGCCGCAAGCATAAGTAACACTCAAAAAAGCGGAAATCATCAAATCAACAAGAGTACACCGCGACAAGACAACGTACTGGCAAACACCCAGACAGCCCTACAGATACAAGCGAATACAATACAAGCGTTAGTGATATAGACATGGCTTCTACTAAACCGAATACCCCCGCTAAACGCCAAACGGACCTTATGACATCAGGAACCTTGTTGGTACACCCGCCAGCTGTGAACCCCCCAAGGACAGTGTGATACAACTTACAACATCCATGTGGAACGACCTGATCACCAGAATTGAAAATGTGAGTAAACCCGATAAGCTTGATGAGATTTGCAAGGGCCTATCATCCATTAATGCATCGATTAACTCACTGGATATTAGAATTGCTACTAGCGAGGAATATGAATATTGTAAACAGTGGAAGTTGAATATCAATATTGATAAAACTAAGGTGGTTGTATTTGGATCAAGAAAGAGCAATAATGTGTTTAGGATAGGCGATAATGTTGTTGAAGAAGTAGATCAATATAAGTATTTGGGTCTGGTTTTTAAACGAACTGGAAACTTCCTAGCAGCAAAGATGTCGTTAGTGGCTCAAGCTAGAAAAGCTATGCATTTACTATATATTAGAATACGTAACCTTGACTTACCAATAGACTGCCAGCTATTATTATTTGATCAAACAATCGTGCCTATATTGACATATGGTTCCGAAATTTAGGGATTTGGTAAACTAGATATGATAGGAAAGGTTCACACAGACTTCTTAAAATATATACTAAGGGTAAAAAAAAGCACACCCCACTATTTTTTTATATGGAGAGTTTGGAAGAACCCCTATTACGGATTTAATTAAACAATAATTTTGACATACTGGTCTAAGATAATTTATAATAAACCAACGAAATTGTGTACAGTTATTTATAATATATTATTTGCAGACTCTGGTAACCATAAATACAGCTGGCTCGAATATGTTAAAGGACTATTTGATGGATTAGGCCTTAGTTCATGCCAAATATAAACGTATTAAAATGTGTTATTAAAAAACTATCTTTGATCAGTTTAGCCAGACTTGGACAGTATTTTACCGAATATTTAAACATAAAATCCAGTTAGAAAATTATCTGCTGTCGCTACCCTTAAGACTCAGTATCCGATTACTAAAATAAGATCCACAAACCATAGATTACCAATAGAAAAGGGACGATGGGAAAATATACCACGAGAAGACAGAATTTGTAGTCACTGTAATAAACATGACTTAGCTGACGAATATCACTATCTACTAATATGTCCTTTTCTGCATAACTTGCGTAAGCAATATATTCAAAAGAAGTACTTTACAAGACCTAGTACGATAACACTTGATATGCTACTAAATACTGAAAGTTTATTAGAACAAAGAAAACTAGCACAGTTTGTAAAAGAAATCCTCAAGATGTTTAATTAAATTTATGAGTCTGTTGCAGTTAAATGTATAGTTGACGCACGTCTGTCTCATGCCTCGTGTCACCATAAATCACCATTTGTACCTTCAATATGTCATAGCTATGACCTTGAAGCGAAATAAACGTTTGTTGTTGTTGTTGTTGTTGACCAGTGTGCACGAGATTCCATACCTTGAAATGTTGTGACAAGCAGCGTTTAACCCAACTCACTCACTCACTTTGTGTCGCTCAATTTGATATGGCTGGAGTATTGCTCATCGCCTTAGAACCTTTGACATATACAACTAAAGATTGGTTATGACACCTTTGTGTAACTATAGTAACGGGATACTAAATACTCAAAATCAACAAAAGAAACGTTTATTTTCTTTCGACACGATGGCACGTGTGATACAGTGTTTGATGTACATTGTCTCATCCCTGCACAACTGAAACAGAAAGTCGTGAATCTTATTACGGCGTTCAACTGGTTACCTTTCAAACATTTGAGAATCACACAAACAAGTCACTCGGTTGTTTGTAATTTTCGAAAAAGACCTTTCCAGTATTGAATTCAAGAAAACACGAATAATTTAGTAGCTTTCATGCAGAAATATAGTGCTGGAATATTGGTAAATACAGCCCTTAACAATTTATTACATTTAAATAATAAAGAGTATATCACATACGCTATATGCCAATGGATCAATGCGCGTTATATTCCATACCCTATTCGATGCCGTTATTTTTTCAAGTGAATGGATCGATGTGCACTAAGCGACACCGTTATTAAAGAAATAAAGTTTGCCCTACCCCCATGTGTAGTTTGATAAAATATAGTTTTGCCCTGAACTAAAAAAGTTAAGGCACGAGGCCGCTTGCGTCCGAGAGCTTTGACGTTATAATAGTTAAGGACAAAACAATACTGGGGGGGGGGGGACCTCACTCAGACACATAAAACTGACACCGAGCTGGCTAATCCTTGTCTCATCCCCTGAAAGACGCGCGCCAGGCAGGGTAACAACAAGTACGGTCTTTTAACTTCTTTTGGTATGACACAACTAAGGGTTGGCACCACCAACTTTTCACTCTCCGGGCGTTCTAGCCACTACACCACGGAGGCGGTCTCCATAGAGACGCTCTATCACAGGACCTATCCACTACACCACGGGGGCGGCCTCCGTACCGACGCTCTATCCACTGGACCACGGAGGCGGTCTCCGTACAGACGCTCTATCCACTACACCACGGAGGCGGTCTCCGTACAGACGCTCTATCCACTACACCACGGAGGCGGTCTCCGTACAGACGCTCTATCCACTACACCACGGAGGCGGTCTCCGTACAGCCGCTCTATCCACTACACCACGGAGGCGGTCTCCGTACAGACGCTCTATCCACTACACCACGGATGCGGTCTCTGTACAGACGCTCTATCCACTACACCACGGAGGCGGTCTCCGTACAGCCGCTCTATCGAATACACCACGGAGGCGGTCTCCGTACAGACGCTCTATCCACTACACCACGGATGCGGTCTCTGTACAGACGCTCTATCCACTGGACAACGGAGGCGGCCTCCGTACAGACGCTCTATCCACTGGACCAGGGAGGCGGTCTCCGTACAGACGCTCTATCCACTGGACCACCAAAGCGATCTCCGTATTAAAGAATCTTTAAACAATACAAACCTGGTGTAGCTGTCTGTATATTGTTGGTAGAGGCCGCTGAGGAAGCTCCGTCTCCTAAAATAGAAGGGTGATACGTGTGCATTATACAGTAGTGAGTGCGTCGGGTTTAAATTGCGCTTGGATCCGTGTTTCAGTTATACCACGAACTGTCAGCTTTATGTGTAGGAAGAAAGGAATGCGTGAATGTATAGGGAACTGACGCAGGTCTTAAACGTTTGCCCCAAGATCTGGTGTGGTCCTTTCTGTTATGCAAAAGCCATAAATGAAGCAAGTCTAGATTTTCCTGAGGTTCAGAGTCTCCCTTATCTCTTGGGCTCCTTTTCAGTTTCAAAGGAGTTATTTCTGTCTATCAAAATTATATATTTTAAGACTTAGCGTTAGTCTAGTGTGGTCCTGACAACGGTCATACTTGGGTCAATAGGGTCAGGGGTCGAATTAGGTTGACGTCCGCTTTGAACAGCATTTCGACCCGTGAAGATCCGGGGTAGAATAGGTCTTTAGCAACCCATGCTTGCCGTAAAAGAAGACTGTGCTTGTCGTAAGAGGCGACTACGGGATCGGGTGGTCGGGCTCGCTGACTTGGTTGATGCATGTCATCGTATCTCAATTGCGAGGACCGATGCTCATGATGTCAATCACTGGATTGTCTTGTCCAGACTCGATTATTTACAGACCGCCGTCATATAGCTGGAATATTGCTGGGTGCGGCGTTAAACAAGAGTAAATATGATACAATACTTGAGAAAACACTGGAACATAATTATGGTACAGGTCAAAATTTATTTTACATTTTAATGAAACTAAACACATGGTGCGGCGTTCCAAAGGTGGAAATATACTTGTGTGTAGTTTCATCCTTTGAAGACCGCCTCCGTGGTCTTGTGGTAGAGCGTCCGCCCTGAGAGCGGAAGGTCCAGGGTTCGATCCCGGGCCGCGTCATACAAAAAGACGTTAAACGATTGTACTTGTTGTTACCCTGTCTGGCGCTCGGCATTAAGGGGCTAAAACAAGGACTGGTCGACTCGGAGTCAGTATACTGTGTCTGAGTGGGGTATTCATGTTAAACTGCGGCATGGTATCTCAGTGAGCTAGCACTATAAATCGGCATCAGTCCGGACTAGTACAAGCAGCCACACACACACATACACGTGCATGCACGTCGCTATATAAGTGCAAGAATCTTGGACGCGACGTTAAACCCAATTTCACCTCACCTCATCCTTTGAAGCGAAAACATGTTCTTTGGGAGGGGGGTGGGGGGAGGGTTGGCAGAGAAACAGATAGTGATATTCATCTCTAATTGTGCAACGGCTGACATAGGTGAAGGTGATTAACCCGAGGAGTATAGGTATATAAATCTGGCGCCAGAACCCCCATTACCTATACTACTCGAGGTCCTACCCCGGTCTGTATCTGGCCGAATACCAACAAACAGTACATTAAACCTAACTAACTCACTAACTTCAATACGTACCACACAGTCCACAGAAGCTCCTGCACACTGTGTGAGCCAGAGGGTTGGAGCAGATGCCGTTCAATGTGTCACAGCTCATTCCTTGCAGCGTGTCAACACACGACTCGGTTGTTCCTTGTGCCATGGCTGCCGTCGTCATGGCGACAGTGACGGGTTGAGTGACCGCCGCCTCTGTCATCTGTGTTGCCGATGGATTTGCAGTCTGGACATCCCCATTGATGACTTGGTTCATGAGATCCCGAAGAACTGTCTCTGTGTGGAGAAAGATTATAATATATACACCATTGCAATCAACCGCTGTTTGATGAAAGATTTGCAAAAGACTCATGTAAATCAGTTTGTTTGTTTGTTTGTTTATTGTTTAACCCCGCACTCAGCAATGTTCCAGCTATATGGCGGCGGTCTGTAAATAATCGAGTCTGGACCAGACAATCCAGTGACTGACAGAGCTCGATCTGGTATAGTATGATACATTTTTACAACATAATGGCAATTATCAAACCTCACCAAAGCACGTGAGTGCGAGTGTGAGAATGTGTTTTGGAGTGTATGACTGTGTGTGTGCGTCTGTGTGTGCGTGTGTGTGCGCGCGTCTGTGTGTGTGTGACTGTGCGTCTGTGTGTGTGACTGTGCGTCTCTGTGTGTGACTGTGCGTCTCTGTGTGTGTGCGTCTGTGTGACTGTGCGTGTGTGTGTGACTGTGCGTGTGCGTGTGTGCGTCTGTGTGTGTGACTTTTCGTCTGTGTGTGTGTGCGTGTGTGTGTGTGCGGGTGTGCGTCTGTGTGTGTGACTGTGCGTCTGTGCGTGTGCGATTAAAGTTATATCTATTCTAGAAGTTCCCATAACGGCATACTCACCGCATATATTACACGTGTTCGGACAGGTGAACTTGGCCAGTTGGTTATTGCAAATGTCTTTCGTTACTTTGAATATTTCACATTCGTTGTTGATGAGATGGTCTTCACATAAAGCTTTGCCATGAAATTGTGACTCCAAGAGATCACACAGACCACATGTCTGGGGGCACACTTGGACACCCAGGTCATTCTGGAAGGGAAAAACAGACAAACAATACATTCAGTAACAGACTTACGACCCACAATACATTAATATAACATTATAGTGAGTGAGTGAGTTGGGTTTAACGACGCTTTTAACAGTATTACAGTTATATCACGGCGTGGCTTAATGTGGGAGGAAAGCCCGAAGTGATGCAGGTCTCAGACGTTTACCACTTCGGTGAAACCCACGAGCACGGGTATGGTGCAGACAAACCTAGAAACATAATCGGGGCGAACCGGGATTCGAACCCAAAGTCATAGGTTTCTAGCGTGCCCACGGGACGCAACTCTACACAGCTTATCGTATTATAGCACTATAAATCACGCATGCTGGAGTTAATTATATAAAAAATTCAGTCATGGATAATGAAGGACTAATTACTAGTTTCGAGATGTAGATTCAGTGTAATCTGGCTTCTTGTTCTCTATACTGTGGAAGGCTTCTATACTTATATATTCCCAATATCTCTTATTGCTGGGCTATCTTGGTTTGCTGAGGGTATATTCTACCCTCGGGTCAACACGGAGCGTGGTGAGATATCCTGAAAATTACCTTGCAAACATTCGGCGCCGTGGCGCAACCGTTGTCCATGATTTGATCAACACATTGTCCGTAGAGAAGAGGGTTTGGTGCTGGAGATGACCCTGGCATGGGAGACCCTGACTGTCCAGTGCTTCCTGCTGCCAGCGTTGTCCCCATGTTATCTAGTAGACACGATAGAAGCACACACATACTTTCAATAGGAGCAAGTGACTCAGTGGAGTTTGGTTCTACAGGTTTTCACTGATATCACGGCGTGTCAGCATGATGTGGACAGGAAGTCCGAAGTGATGATAGTCTCAGACGGTTACCATTTTGTGAAGCACGCGAGCACGGATGTAGTGCTAACAATAATAGAAACAGGTGAGGTGAGGTGAAATGGGGTTTAACGTCGCGTCCAAGATTATTGCACTTATATAGCGACGTGCATGCACGTGTGTGGGTGTGTGGCTGCGTGTACTAGACCGGACTGATGCCGATTTATAGCGCTAGCTCACTCAGATACCATGCCGCAGTTTAACATTAATACCCCACTCAGACACGGGATACTGACTCCGAGCCGACCAGTCCTTGTTTTAGCCCCTTAATGCCGAGCGCCAGACAGGGTAACAACACGTACCATCTTTTAACGTCTTTTGGTATGACGCGGCCAGGGATCGAACTCCGGACCTTCCGCTCTCCGGGCGGACGCTCTACCACTGGACCACGGAGGTGCTCTTATAGAAACAGAGTTAACCATGATTTCAACCCACGATCACAGGTTTCTGGTACGCTTGGGGACGCACCTCTGCACAGCGACATAGGGCACCTTAGACAGCAGGTCCACCGTGCTTCAACTCCCAGCCTGTAGGACATGAGTGGGCACGAGTGGACAGGTCGCTGTGTAGAGTAACGTCCCTTAACTGAGCCAGGATCCGCTGAACGTTGGTTCGAAAAGCACATTGGTCCTGATCAGTTTGAATGGAAGAATAATTTGTTTCCCAAAATGCTGGAAGAAAATCGTATTCGAGTCTGGGCAGGATTGAAACCCAGGTACTGGAGTTGATACTCGACAGGTACCCGCCACAGTTCTTGTGCATGTACCAGTCGTATTTTGGGGGGTAATGTTATGTGATTTCAGAGTTTCGGTTTCGAAAGCTACAAATTTCCGGACATCGAATTCTCAATAACACTCAAAGGAAATGGGACTGCGTCGTTAAATTGTGAAATTGAACCTGCATATGTGCAATGTTTTTCTCTGTGATGCTCTCTCTCTCTCTCTCTCTCTCTCTCTCTCTCTCTCTCTCTCTGTTTCTCTCCCTCTGTTTCTCTGTCTCCCTGTCTCTCTTTCTTTCTCTCTCTCTCTGATTCCCTGTCTGCCTCTCCCTTTCTCTCTCTCTCTGCCTCTCTGTTTCTCTCTCTCTCTGCCTCTCCCTTTCTCTCTCTCTCTCCCTCTCTCTCTGCCTCTCTCCATCTCCGTCCCTCTCCCTATGTTTCTCTGTCTCCCTTCCTCTCTCTCTGTCTGTCTGTCTCTCTTTCTTTCTCGCTCTCTCTCTGATTCGCCCTCTGCCTCTCCCTTTCTCTCTCTCTCTCTCTCTCTCTCTCTCTCTCTCTCTCTGTTTCTCTCCCTCTGTTTCTCTGTCTCCCTTCCTCTCTCTCTGTCTGTCTGTCTCTCTTTCTTTCTCGCTCTCTCTCTGATTCTCTCTCTGCCTCTCCCTTTCTCTCTCTCCCTCTCTCTGTTCTCTGCCTCACTCCCTCTCCATCCCCCTCCCTCTGTTTCTCTGTCTCTCTTCTCCTCTCTCTGTCTCTGTCTGTCTCTCTCTCTCTCGCTCTCTGCGTCGTTAAATTGTGAAATTGAACCTGCATATGTGCAAAGTTCTTCTCTGTCATGCTCTCTCTCTCTGTGTTTCTCTGCCTCTCTCCCTCTCCGTCCTTCTCCCTCTGTTTCTCTGTCTCCCTCTCTCTCTTTCTCTCTCTCTCTGATTCCCTGTCTGCCTCTCCCTTTCTCTCTCTCTGCCTCTCCCTTTCTCTCTCTCTCTCCCTCTCTCTGCTTCTCTGCCTCTCTCCATCTCCGTCCCTCTCCCTCTGTTTCTCTGTCTCCCTTCCTCTCTCTCTGTCTGTCTGTCTCTCTTTCTTTCTCGCTCTCTCTCTGATTCGCCCTCTGCCTCTCCCTTTCTCTCTCTCTCTCTCTCTGTTTCTCTCCCTCTGTTTCTCTGTCTCCCTTCCTCTCTCTCTCTCTGTCTGTCTGTCTCTCTTTCTTTCTCGCTCTCTCTCTGATTCTCTCTCTGACTCCCTTTCTCTGTCTCTCTTCTCCTCTCTCTGTCTCTGTCTGTCTGTCTCTCTCTCTCTCTCTCTCTCTCTCGCAATCAGATTCCTTTCCCCTTCCAACGCATTGCAACCATGCAGATTGCAGCACATCTTGCATTCATTTCCCTTTCCCCTTACAATGAAGGATATTGATGTATAGTATAATAAACACATGTAGACTACGGAATACTCACCAGTGGAAGTGTTAAAGAAAGGAGCCACGCCACAGTTGCTGTCCAAACAACAGTATGTACACTTGTGATGTCCTTGAACCAAGGAAAGGTCACCCTCGCTGCATACCGCAGTGTTTTCATCATAGGAAGTGGCCAAGCATCTCTGAAGAAGTGGGATAAAGTAGTTTGTTGTCATAGATATTTTACCCGTGTCTAACACTGGAAGAACAGAACAGCTTAACACAATCGACTTTGTTGTAAATTAAGACATTATTGTCTATGATATATGAGTGGCGTACAAGTATCTACACTTCCTGTATAAAATAAATTAATTATATAGGCGCGTGTAAATGTATTTATCATATAATGGGTAGGTCTCTCGGCAGGATAACACCAAAGAACAAAAACGACAAGGGCTTGGTTCATATGCGGATAGAGATGCGAATAGGGACTACTTTCAGTGTTTGTAAACAAACATGGCGTCGCCCTTGTCATTCGGCCATCGAGTCAGAATTAACCATCGGGAATCTGGAGAAACTACTGGGATAATTTCTATCATTATCAAAAGAAGATAGTCTAATATACTGAAAATCGGCGTCTAACAGTGACGTAGCTAAAGCATTTTACAAAGTTTGGCAACTTTCAATTGGAGATACAAATTGCAAAACAGTGTTGCGAGGGCACAAGGCAGGCGGGATCAGTTTCCATATCTGGACTTGTAGAGCTCTGCGGGTTGGACCCCGCCGTGATATTGCTGGAATATTGCTAAAAGTGGCGTAAAACCATACTCACTCACTCACTCTGCGGGTTGGAACCTTTTCCACAAATTAAGACAAATGGATTTGGCCGAAATATGTTCGAATTGTAACCTTGTTTCATTTTGTCGGCAAGGCTCGCTAAATTCAATGTTTATTCCTAATACATGATATTTACCATTCCCCAACACACTCGCGTGATAGCCTCTATGTATATTTCCAAATGGACTTCAACACCTTTTGTGTTTGTGGATGTATGCACGTACAATTCGGTGTGCATACACACGTAGCGGATTTACCCAAAGTGTGGACACTATTTTGAACGTTTGTACCTTAATAAACATTCTTATAAATATATATGTCAACAATAATAAGTTCAAAGACTGCTTATTTTATCATAACACACGAAAAACTGAAGCAACAGTACGAAATCCATGACATCGTCCAGTGTAATATTGCAGCACAAGCCCCGCCCACTTAATTACCACAAATCAGAGAAGTATGCCATTTGTGGGCGTTGCCTGTTGGTTACGATTGATACGGATGTACAGCTGCTTATATCAACTCATTAAACAGCATCTGCAACCCAGGTCTCCCGAGAAAGAAGTACTCAGCTTGAAGATTGATCGACCGGTAAAGCCTATGTTCCAGACAATATTATGATAATGACAAATTATTTTTTATTACAAAAACTGTTTATATCTTACTTTTGATCATATGCAAAATTACCCGTTCTAGATAACAGAGTCCAGTCAACTACAGTTATAATGAACTCAAAGCGACCACTAATTTTAGTTCGCTATAAACGTACTTCGTTATAAGCATATACACAGCATTTATACAGCTAATGCAAAAGGATTATAAACATTTCGTTATATCCGTCAATTTGTTATAGGCGTGTTCGTTATAAACGTAGTTTACTGTTTTTTCATTGCTTTTAAAAGGGACATCCTGAGGCAATGTGACAGACCAGGCACGTTAATGCTTTTAATTATCAATCCACACGGTGACTTTGAGAAAGTGGAAACAATGTACCAATGCCAGACAACGCTTTTTACAAAGTTTTGACGATGATTAAACTGTGGAGACTCCCTTTAAGATACCATTGCTTATGTTGTTCTACTTACCCGCAGATCTATGTCTCTTGTGCAATGACCTCTCAGCTCCCCATGTTCGGCTTCAAGTTGACAAAACTGTCCAAAAGATAGAAATAGTGAACATAATGAACGCCGTCAATGGACATACACCTTTCTAACAATTTGATTCACGGTATTATGTTCTCTGTAGGCGTACGAACGTAGCGTACGCAACACGGGATCCCCGGAATAACGGTGTCCTGATTTCTGTTGTCTCTGATAATGATAACTGACAATGTTATTTCGAGTTTCTGTGGATGTTTCTGAGGATTTATGATGAAAAATGACTTTCCTAACCATTACGATTGCAGTTGATTGATAGCAGATACAGTTAATGGTTGAATGATATCTTGATATCCTTCAGCGTTAAGAAACAAGTTACGATTCGTTGGGGGATATCTGTTTTGAGTGAGGAATGGTCTCGATCTTTTGGCATTCATTCATGAGAGACACTCTGACATTCTGTGCTTTAAGTGAGTGAGTTTGATTCACTGTCCCGAGTTACTTCACGGACTTATCAGCTTGATGTGGGAAGAAAGCTCCAAGTGAAGTACAAGTCTAGTCTCAGACGATTTCTATTTTGGTGAACGCACCGAGCACGGTAGGGTGCTGACAAACCAAGAAACATGATCATTGCGAATCTGACATTCGCACCCCCGATAATAGCCCGGTTTCGAGAATTTGCAAAAGAAATGTCATTCCGAAAAAATGCATTGAAGTCAGTCTATTCTTCTGTTAAAACGTTAAAATTTGTTTCGTGACGTTACGAACAATGAATGGTGTCATATTATTCTCAATACCTAGTGGTATTGCATCAATTTGCTTTATCTGAATAATCAGCTTTGAGATTCGCTAAGAACACATGTGCTATTATCGGGAAATTATATTAAACTCGATCGGTCAACCGCTAAGACTAATATTAACGGTTTTACGCACCTCGCCGGAACTGCACATATGAGCGTTAACTAAACATGTGTCGATGTTGTCAGGGCGACAGTGACCGGGGCAACTCATCAGGGCAGTCGCTGAAACATAACGCACTTTATTGATATAAAGTTTTAAGAAGCTTTATTAGCGATCCATACACATTATTTAGTAGATAATCCAATTCGATTAAATCCACTTTGAACAGTTCTTCCGCTGTATCACGGCGTGCGATCTTGATGTGGAAGGAAAGCCCCCAGTGATGCAAGTCTTAGGCGTTAACAACTTTAGCGAAACCCACGAGCATGGGTATGGTGCTGACAAGCCAAGAAACTGGGATTAAAACCAAGGAGTCTCTAATACGTCTACTGGACGCAACTCTGTATAACAAATTGTCGCTCTGGGCTACCAATGCTTCCTAAAGTTCCTATGAAGCCTTGTACACAGCTCTAATGAAGCAGAATTGACTGATGCGGGATCTATTGGGGAATATATGTAGAATATGTAATTAACTTAATGAAATTGTCCAACACATTGTCAGTGGATGCCCAGCTTTGGCACAAACAAGTATCTTAAGCGACATGATTGAGTGGCGCAATCATTTTATTACCGTCTTCGCCATGCTTGTGGTTTTGCCACAGAGGTCATCCATGGTACGACCCGGAATATGTAGAGGGCGTCATGGAAAATGATAAATACAAAATTCTTTGGAATAGGCCCGTATACAGCCTCAGACCTATCCAGGCTATCAAACCTGATCTTGTCCTATTTGATAAATCCAATGAAATCATTTATAGTATTGAATTTTCTGTCCCTTTTGACACTAATGTGATTGACAAAATTGAATAAAAACATGACAAATATGCGGACCTCGCTTTCGAAAAGTCACGCTTGCATCCCAAGGACCATTTTTTCCGACTCCCCATTGTTCTCGGTGCCTTAGGTTTGGTACCTCCCAATCTGTTGACTGACATAGGGAGAGTACCCGGGTTTGCTACCAAGAATACAGCCCTTCTGACAATCTGGGTAATTCAGAGCGCTGCAGTGTTGGGGAGTCTTCACATTCTCCGAAAAGTTCTGGGTTGGTTTGACAAGGCAGCGCTTCCTGGGAGAAGTCCCATTCGCTGTCTGGGCTGCGTGTAGAGGGGGCAAGGGCCCTGAGCTGATGATGAGCCTAACCAGCCTGACTGTGCCAGGATCACCCAAATCCTCTTCTCTGTATATCTTATTTTTATCTGAACGCTTTTTGTTGTTATTTTTTCCGTTATTGAATCTATAAAAAAATCAATATGTCACCGTACAAACAACAAAACCATTCGTCACCACTCGCCCCTTTCCGTAACCTGCAAGAAGACTCGTCCCCCTATCGATGAATGTTATGTGCGAAAATACGTCAAACCAATCAGAATGCGCGTATGATTTCAAGCTCTTCGTCAAAGAATCGCTCAGAAACAATTTTTGATTTAAAATATGTGTTAAATCTAAAAATATACCCAAGACACAGTTAAATGTGGTCAATCATACTGTATAATCCCGCATGTCCCGATGTGCTTTAAATTGCATCTGAAATATATATGATATATGGGGAAATATATGTGAACCATTACGCAACGAGTTGACAATTGTTTTAGGTATGCCCGTTTGCGCTAAGACGGAACCCGGTCGCACAAATGGCCACGAGAGGGGCACGAGTCGCTATTCGACTTGTCCCGGAATAACACGAGTTGGTCACGAATGCAACAAAACAAGCCGTATCTCACCTGGCGTTGACGCAAGCGGAACTCCCTGTAGCGCCGCCACTTGATCCGACACGCATGCGTCGTCATGACAACAAATCTCACATCCGTGATCGGTTCGTGATCCCCCAATCCCACAGTGAACCCTCGCCTTATCAATGTCGTGTTGACATTCCTAATGGAAGTGAAAGATTTGATCAGAATGAGCTAACGATATAACCATATATAAGTTATAAGGAAGACGTTTTTGTTCATGTCGAGCTGTGATTAGATGTGACAGGGTACGTTCAAATATGGAGAACTAAATTTATAAATAATTTTCAGCAGATTTGGCATAGTGAAGATCTGTCAAGTCCTAAACTGTGATAACATGCATTTCATCATCGCCAGATCCAAATATTATTAAAAAAAATAGGCAATTACTTGTTTTGCACATCAAGTATGATATACTATTTTAAATATTTTACACCTGTTTGCACACGACCCTCTGTTCACAAAGGTCCCTGTTCTAAACGTACTGCAATGAATTGATTGAACTAAAGTCAAATGTTCCTTCGTCCCGTTTCATAATCGCATTGATGGACGGATGCGTCGAGACCCCGGTCGCCACTCGTAATAATAATACAAAAAACATCACTCCGATTGCAATCGTCCATTTTAACTAGTGATATTCAAGATCATATGCATACTACTGTAAATCACGTGTAAATGCATCTTCCCGAGGCAGGAGAGTTAACTGGCTATAAAAGTCCAGGGCGCCGTTCCACAAAGCCATCTTACCGCTAAGTTGATCGTAACTCCCATACTTAAACACTGGCTTGCGATAGTCTTAGCGCTAAGATCGCTTCGTGGAACGGTGCCCAGGGCTTTTAAAGACAGTTAACTCTCTTGCCTCGGGAAGATGGTGGAAATGTATCCGTATTCGTGTGTGTTGCGTTTGGCGTCCGCCACAGTGACTGGCAAAATTGCAGAAGCTTCTAATCCAGCAAAAAGGCTTGTCGTATGTGCATTTACGAACAAATAGTTGTGCCACTTTAAACACGCGAATCTGTGTTCGAACCTGTTTACAAAAATGTGGTAGAGGTGGCAGTTACATGAAGATGTGAGGTGAGGTGAAATTGGGATCAACGTCGCGTCCAAGGTTATTGCACTTATATAGCGACGTGCATGGTGTGTGTGTGTGCGTGCGTGCGTGCGTGCGTGCGTGCGTGCGTGCGTGCGTGCGTGCGTGTGTGTGTGTGTACCTGCTTGTACTAGATCGGACTAATGCTGATTTTATAGTGTGTGCCCACGGAGATACCATGCCGCATTTTACATGAATACCCCATTCAGTATACTGACTCCGAGTCGACTACTCCTTGTCTTAGCACCTTAATGCCGAGCGCCAGGCCGAGTACCAACAGGTGCCATCGTTTCGTATGACGCGGCGGATGCTCTACCACTAGACCACGGAGGCGGCCTACGTGAACCGCGTGAAAATAGTAAACATCTTACGTGTTCCTTCGCGCATCTGACGACGGTTTCATGGCGCCCATACAATACCTCGCACACCTGCAAAGAAATCAACACAGTTGTCATACAATTGGAGATAAAATATTTATTTCTTATACTCGAGTAAAAAGAACATTCTTGTCGGAACTACTTTCCGTCTTTAAAACGATCAAACAAAATGTTTATCTCATCGTTTGACCTGACACAATTGATATCGACAGGAGTGGCGAAGTCACGATTGAAAAGGTCAACTGTTCAGGTGACGAGGTCAAGTGGGTTCAATCACACAATCACGATTTTTACCGCCATCCTTGATAGGACCATTACCGATTAAAAATTGTCAAAAGTCTGATCAAGATCCTTTGATTCGTGGCGGGAAATTCACATATTTGTCAAAACATGTATTTAATCACGACAACATTCAGAAATTGTTCAGTAAGCGTCCCGATTCAGCCGTGTCCAGCCGAATTCGACCCGATTCTCCCGTTCTCAATCCGAATCTGATCCGATTTGTATCTCCCGCATGGTCAAAAACGACCGAATCTGTCCCTACAGAGATCAGACAGTGACCGGACAGTGAACCGACAAAGACGGTTCGCATTCGGCAAGATCTTGAAGCAATCTGGACTCAATCGACAAGAAACAGCAATGCACAATTTCTCCAAATCATGCCCGTTCATCACGAAAGCGTTCCGATCCACAGTTCACCGTCCAGACAACACAGGACATTGTAACGATTTTAATCCAATACAGCAGAATCTGTCACGACATAGTCACGATTGTAATCCGACTAGACAATATCGACTTTCCCGAATGTTACGGGACGCACCTACTTGTCGGGAGTGCTTGACCGACCTCTATGGACCTTTCCCGATCATGAGGACTCTGTTACGAACGTATACGACTGCGTTCAGACAATGACAATGACAATGACATTCAAGGTCATTGAGGATAGTAATCCGACTTCTTCACTTTTCGTATCGTAGCGCTGTCTGATCTCAAACGGGAGCCATAATCGGCACTGTGTGAACGCAGCCTTACTTAGAATTTTATATCCATATTTGTCGATGTAATTGATACATTGTAGATACAGCTAATGCTTGAATGTTAACTTGATATTCGTTAATTATTAAATTGTCACAGAACAACTGACAAGTTCCAATTCTAAGGAATTATCTGTTTTTAGTGAAGAATGGTCTCGATCTTTTTGGCATTCATTCACCGATATCTGTCATTCTGTTTTCAAGTGAGTGAATTAGTGAGTGAGTGAGTTCGAATTAAACAATATACCAGTATTCGACATAAACAGTATTCCCGTATTCCAAATAAATATTCAATCTCATTAAAATCAGATCTTAGTTCTCGCTACCGCTAAACAAAGATCTGAGCACATCCCATTACGGGTCTTGCAATGGCGATGTGCGTGACGCCTTGTTGCGCCATTCCAACGGCTCTCTCGATCTGTATAACGGTAAAACCCTGACATAGACTCCTCACAGCTTAGTTCTCCATATATCCGGGTGCGTAACGAAGATGTCAAGCCCTATGTAGCGGCCATAAAATTTCCGAGTCCCGTGATGGGATTCGAACCACGGACCTTCTGATCAGAGGTCGGACGCCTTGTCCACATGACCAAAGAGGTTAACCCTGTCAGCAAGCTGACAAGGTAAGGATGTCATCTGTGGGATGACTCCACGCCCTGCTACATACACCCCCGTCAACAGAAGGCACGTCCTGGGCCGCATAGTAGGGTACTGAGGCTTATTTTGCTCAAATTTAATATGAACGTGCTCAGCCCCACGTTGGGCGCCAATGTAGCGGCCATAAAATTTCCGAGTCCCGTGATGGGATTCGAACCACGGACCTTCTGATCCGAGGTCGGACACCTTGTCCACATGACCAAAGAGGTTAACCCCGTCAGCAAGCTGACAAGGTAAGGATGTCATCTGTGGGATGACTCCACGCCCTGCTACACCTAGGTAGAGCTTGGACTATAAACAACGGAGGGTTGTCACTCTTTTTGGGGAGGGCTTCAATTAACATGTACTCACAATCACACATGCATCAGAAATAAACGTGCACAATATTCCGGCACATAACAACTGCCACTCTGCCTGTTTTGAACTGCAGAACTTAGCAAGGATAAAACATATGGAATATATCGGGCGGATAACTTGATTTAATGGTCGCCATCGCCGACTACTATATACTCACCTCGTCAGGATGGCAAACATGAGGTTTATTAAGACAGTCTGGAAAGTGATCCTTGTGTTCACAGTGATAGCATGAGACCTCGTGACCTGGGGGGCCCGGGCATACAATGCCCTGGATTAGACCTGAACAATAATAACATGTATTATAAGGATGTCCACCTTGGGAACGGGGAGTGGGAGGGAGGGGGAGGGGGAGGGGGAGGGAGGGGGAGGGGGGGGGGATTGGGGGGGAGATGTAGGCTAACGAGAAGGGAGGATGAGGACAGCGTTGGGATTGTTTTGGTTCTGGTTTGTTTGTTGTTTAACGCTGCACTTAGCAATATTCAGTAATTATTTCATCAGAAAACTTTGATGTTTATATCTATATAAAGTCCAACGGCTAAGAGAAACTTAAATCGACTACCTACTTGACATGCGTAGTTCATGCAATCAACCATTGTCTGTATTATGGGCCTATGGCCTTCTTACTGAATAAACTGTCTGTCTGTCTGTCTGTCTGTCTTAGCAATATTCCAGCTATATGACGGCGGTCTGTAAATAATCGAGTCTGGACCAGACAGTCCAGTGATTAATATCATGAGCATCAATCCACGCAATTGGGATCGATAACATGCATAAGTATATAACCGAAATAATGAGCAAAGTTGCAATGCAAAAACTCACTCACGCACCCAACAATTCAGTGAAGATATTACGATAATCACTTACATGATTTCAAAATAGGTAAGATATTTTTGAAACTTACTCACCAACAATCACGAATACAGCTAGTGGGAAAACCATGTTTTTTAAAGTGCGATTCCTGAAAAAAACCGCAGGCTAAGGAGTGTTCTAGTTCGTATTTATACAAGAAGCCTTCAGTCCGTGAGAAGTTCTCCACATGGATCAAAGCCGTGACCTTTACGGTTAGTCGAGTCCATAATCTATATCTCCAGAGCTTGCATTTCGGTAAACCTACACTTACACCTGGATCCATTCCTGTAGTTCTCGCGAGTTCAAATCACCCGCCCGTGATAATCATTTAATTTGCTACGCTACTCAGACTGACGGTAACACACCAGCTGTTGGGTTGCCGACATCAACAACTTGACGACTAGTTCTGTTCATAACGATAGATTTTGCGAGAAATTAAACATTGAAAAGTGATTGACACGCAAAGGAAAAGCCACAAAAATCTGTTTGATGGAAAGGATGTCTTCATGTCCATTAAAACTAGCGGTGACTCTGGTTTCTTGACAATATGAGTTACCTCCCTTATATTTACCCATTTCCTGTTTCCTTGTCTCTTTTCATGGAGTGAGTGAGTATGGTTTTACGCCGCTTTTAGCAATATTCAAGCAATATCACGGCGGGGGACACAAGAAATGTGCTTCACACTTTTCATGGAAAGGATGTCCCATAAAACTGGCGATGCATATCGACGTTTGTTTGGTCGATAAAACGTTATGGAAAATCAAGGGCGGGTAATTTGAGATCGCGAGGACCACGGGGATACCCATTGCGGCTGAAAGTAGGATGATAAAACCACGTTGGCCGAAACTGAGTTCCCTTTTGTGTATGGACAACGTTGGAATCGGGTGCAAAAACGAAATTTGAGCTGAAAATATTGTTTCGTAAAAGTGCTTTACAAATAAGTGAAAAATATCGCGAGTGTGAATTTAGGTGCTGAAAGGCATGATAAGCAGAAAATAATTTTAAAAGCCTCATGTTCATGTCACGATACACCAATTGTACTAATCGTCTTTATTCTTAAACATATCGGGGACATGGGTGGCCCATTCGTCTAAGGCGCCGCGATTCGCTGTGCAGAGTTACGTCCCCTGGGCACGCCAGAAACCTATGATTGTAGGTTCGAATCCTGGTTCGCCCCAGGCGTTTAACTCACTCACTCACTCAGTCACTCAGTCACTCACTCACTCACTCACTCACTCATTTCGAAAGCGAGGTCCGAATATTTGCCATGTTTCTTCTGAATCTTGTCAGTCACATTAGTGTCAAAGGGATAGAATATCCAATGATATGAATGATTTCATTGGATTTATCAAAAAGGACAAGATGAGGTTTGTTGGTCTGGACACGCCTGAGGCTGCATACGGGCCTATTCCAAAGAATTTTGTATTAATCATTTTCCATGACGCCCTCTACATATTCTTGGTCGTACCCTGGATGGACCTCTGTGTCAAAACCACAAGCATGGCGAAGACGGTAATAAAATGATCGAGCTACACAATCGTGTCGCTTCAGATACTGTGTTTGTGCCAAAGTTGGGCATCCACTGACAATGTGTTGGACAGTCGTTAATTGATTACATAATCTTCATTTCATATTTTAAATTGCAGTTTGATACAAAATCACACATTGACGGTTTCGAGTGGGATGTGACTGGTCCTGAACAGCAAACAGAAAACCTTCTGTTTCAGTTTTCAGGCCAGCCGACTTCATCCAAGCGAAGGATTCTGCAGGGTTGCTGACCTTCTCAACACACTGCACATAAACTGGATGCAGTGGTCGTTCAGAAAGCCTCTCCTTGAAAAACTGAGTCTTGGCCGCTTTGATATGGCACTTCGCTTTGTTGACACTTATTTCTGTACCGTCCAGCAGTACAGAACCATCAACAAAATCAACACGGACATTGACATTATTTCCTACATCCTTGGCTCGTTTTAGAAAACTGTGGAATGCCTTGTTTTCACCATGAGTCTTTACATGATTTACCAGAGGATCATTAGACAAATGTGTGCAAAAGTGCACAAAACAATTCTATCATGAAGCGCCTCCTTTTTGTCTTATTATTATTATTATCTAAAAAATTAGAGCAGTAGAGCAGTAGAGTGGATACAACAAGGTCTGGAAGGTTCACAACGTGACACCGCTGTACGTGGTGATACCAACACAGAGATAGCCCACTCTGAATTCTTCGCCTTTTATCTCGCGTATATTTCGCAGGAGTGGGAACCTTGTATTGCACTCTAACTCAACAACTGTAGGACGCACGTATCGCTGACAGATTTCACCTGTGCTCTTTAGCATGATTAAAGGCAGTTGCTCAGCATTTCTGCTATATACCATTTGCAGGTGAGGTCCTTGAAGAAGTTGGTAAGTTCTAACAGGGTTTGTCAGGTTGTTAAGGCCCCGTGTCTTAAATGCTGCAGAGTTCTGCCCCTTAGGCGTGACTGGACCCGATGACCGTCGTTTGAGTTCTCGATTCGCACTATGAGTGCTCTGACAGCGCCATACTCATGTTCGTGGAATACGATCTTCTGTACTTCTAGCTGCAATAGCAGTTTAATAACAGGTGGACACGGAATGATGTTGCTAAAGGACTGTTCAAAGCGGCCTGAAGCCAACTCCCTCACTCACCTATCACTTATACAAGTGCACCGGCCCGTGATCCAGTGGATAGAGCGTCCGCCCGAAGAAAGGACGGTCGGAGTTCGATGCTCGGCCGCGTCATACAAGAAAAGATGGTACTTGTTGTTTCTCTGCCTGTCACTCGGTAATAAGGGGATAAAACAGGGTGAGGTGAGGTGAAATTGGGTTTAACGTCGCGTCCAAGATTATTGCACTTATATAGCGACGTGCATGTACGTGTATGTGTTTGTGCGGCTGCTTGTACTAGTCCGGACTGATGCCGATTTATAGTGTTAGCTCACTGAGATACCATGCCGCAGTTTAACATGAATACCCCTCTCAGACACAGTATGCTGACTCCGAGCCGACCAGTCCTTGTTTTAGCCCCTTAATGCCGAGCGCCAGACAGGGTAACAACAAGTACCATCTTTTAACGTCTTTTGGTATGGATAAAACAGGGACTTGTCAGCGAGTAAGTATATTGTGTCTGAGTGGGGTATCTATTTTTAGATACGCCACACTCGGCAATATTCCAGCTTTATGCAATGGTCTGTAAATAATCGAGTCTGGACCAGACAATCCGGTGATCAACATCATGACCATCTATCTACTCAATTGGGATACGAGTTAGTTGGAAATTAACGTCGCATCGGCATTATTTCAGCTATATAACGTATTGGGATACGATGTCGCCGCTTAGACAAGCATGGGTTTCTGAAGACCTATTGTAACCCTTAATGTTCACGCGACAGTGTCCCATGTTTAGCGATCAATGTAAACTGGGCGGCAAAAGAAAGTAGAGGTCGAGTTCCATGATCGATAAAAAAATAACAAGAAGAGGTTTTGTTGCGAATTTTAATATAATCTAGGGAGGGATAACAATGATCAACCACAGGTTGAATAAAATTGTGCAATCACAGGTAATGTAAGCTCAAGGTAAACAATGGTGGGGTAAGAAATTTCATTTTCAAAAGTTGTCTGAAATGTCACAAAAACATTGTCAGACACACTACAAGTTCATTGTCGACACAGTTGCCTTCAGTAGCGTGTATGACCTCCAACTGCCCCAATGCATGCTGTGATACGCCGCCTCATCGATGACGTCAGTCTTCTGATTACGTGGACTGGAATCCGTTGCCACTCGTCTCTCAGGGCCTGCTGCAATTCTTGTCTGTTGACGGGAGGCTGATGGCGTGCTCTAATCTGTCTGTCAAGATGGTCCCCCAGATGTTCAATAGGATTCATATCGGGTGAGTGGGCAGGCCAGGGCAAAACGTCAACGTTCTGCTGGTTTAGAAAGTTCCGAGTCAGTCTTGCAGCATGGGGCTTGGCATTGTCGTGTTGAAACAATGTCCCCTGCTGTTGGTTTTGTAAGAACGGAAGCACAACTGGCTGCAACACTTGGTCTCTGTATTTCAGATCATTCAGGTTTCCCTGTATAATCACTAAATCAGTTTTCTGATCTCGACAAATACCACCCCACACCATGACACCTCCCCCGCCGAATTGATGGACCTCTCGAATACATGCAGGAGCCAAACGTTCCCCTCTGCCGTCATTTCGAAACAAGTTAAACCGACTTTCATCAGTAAACAGCACTCGACGCCAATTTCTCACTTGCCTGCGTCGAACCTGCCTCGCCCATCGCAGTCTCAGGCGTCGATGTTGAGCAGTCAGTACCATTCCTCGGAAAGGACGATACGCTCGGATTCCAGCAGCACGAAGTCGTCGTAGTACTGTACGTTGGCTAATGGGATGTCCCAACGCTGTTGCTGCCGTCGCCGTTACGAATCTGTTTCGCTGGTGAATGAGCCGTATCTGACTGTCTTCCAGTGGTGTTGTCACTCGGGGTCGTCCGGTTCTAGGCCTGTCCTGTGTCCTCCAAGTCTGCCTGTACCGTTGAATCAGCCTAGCTACTGTCAATGATGTACAATCCAACTTTATGGCAATTTGGACCTGTGTTGCCCCCATTTCGGCCATACCGATAGCTCTCTCTCTATCTGCTCCTGTGACAGCCGTGGCATTTCTTTTGTGTGCTTTCATCACGTGTAGTTATACCCTGCAGACGAACGCATTTATACAGCTAATAAGCACGTGCAGTTTATGCCATAGGCGGGAAACCTGTTTCACCATTTTTTTGTCACCGCACGTGGCGCGTTCGGGTGAGGTGTTTTTAGGTACCTGTTCCTGGGCAGTCATATTCCAAATACCCACTTTCCACTAGTTATCGCTGTTTTTAGGAAAGTTACAAATTGCCAACCTATACTTTCTTTTGCCGCTTACTTTATTTAGTGTTGTGTGACAGGGGTAAGCCCGAAATGGCCCAGATAAACATGTTCAACTCTTGGAATACAACCAAAACAAGGTTAATTATTAGCAGAATCTGGAATACGAATCCACCGTTGTTCATACCCTGACCCATTACCCGGTATCATAGACTTGCATCACTTCGATTTTTCATCCAATATCTATGTTTAGATACGCCGCATTCGGCAATATAACGGCCTTATGCGATGGTCTGTAAATAAACAAGTCTGGACCAGACAATCCGGTGATCAACATCATGATCATCTAGCTACTTAATTGAGATAGGAGTTAAACATTAACGTCGCATCGGCATTATTTCAGCCATACGGAGTATTGGCTTATTATAATATTATAACTGAAATAGTGTTCAAAGCGGCGTAAAACTAAACTCACTCACCCATTCAAATACACATGTGCTTTGGGATATTCTTATAGTAATTCTTTGTGTCGAAACAAAGTCAAAATGAAATTTGTTTGGAGAAAATTAATTTGTAAAATCCACATATTATTTAATATGCAATTGTATTATTCAATAGATATTCTACTTTCAAATGACAGATTCGTCTTCATTAGTTGAACTTCAGGGGCGGTAGGGTAGCCTAGTGGTAAAAGCATTCGCTCGACACGCCGAAGGTCCGCTGTCAATTCCCCGCATGGGTATATTGTGTGAAGCCCATTACTGGTTTTCCCATCGTGATGCGGCGTAAAGCAACACTCACGTATTCACCTAGTTGACATCAGCTCTGACACAATTGTTTAACACAATTCACGTGTGTCGGACTGGTTGGCGACTAATGTCGCCGCGTGTCAGACTGGTTATATGCAGAGGCTGCGCTAGTTCAGAATTCACCGGATTATACAACTTTAAAATAATGGAATTCACAATAAAGACCGCGCCCAGTTTCGTTTGTTTTACATATATTTTTAGACAGATTGTTTTTAGTCTGTCTCAGTAAGAAATTTAAAAAATAGCTTGCCGCAAATTAAGATTGCACGGTGGGTTCCCGTCATCCCCGCAGCTGAAGCATGTGCATCGCTCTGCCCTGCTACATCAGCAAGATGCTTGCTAAAGTAGAGCACGTTCCAGCAGGTCGGCGTGATGCTAAAATGTTGTTTTTAAGTGTTTATATAGGGGTAACACAGAGTATGTCGTGAACTAGAACCTGCTCAGACATGGCCGTGCAAGTGTTGTTGTACCTCGCAGGTAAGCAGAGAGTTATTACATAGTATTACCTTTTTCAGGGATTTGTACCATTTCACATCCTTTAACATTTTAATGTTCTTTCGTCTGTCTATCTTATGCGGTAATTTGGATTCTCAAACCTTTGTATAAAAACATGTAATTAGTTAATAATCTCCATGGTAGAACCATAATCATTTTGTTTGTTTTTGTGGAGGAGACCGCCTCCGTGGTCCGTGGTCTAGTGGTAGAGCGTTTTTAGCCAACAACAAACATGGGTATATGCTTCTTTTGCTCAGCACTGTACGTTTTTGCATGCTGCATTCGGTTCTGGCCCAAACTCCATTTATCACAGGCCGCTGTCATATCGCGACAAACAAACAGTAAAAAAGGGGTTTATTTTCTAAAAGCAACAAATACGCGTTTACATAATTGTTTTCTTTAGTACAATTGCAGACCGCCTCCGTGGTCTAGTGGTAGAGCGTCCGCCCGGAGAGCGGAAGGTCCGGGTTCGATCCCCGGCCGCGTCATACCAAAATACGTTAAAAGATGGTACTTGTTGTTACCCTGTCTGGCGCTCGGCATTAAGGGGCTAAAACAAGGACTGATCGGCTCGGAGTCAGTATACTGTGTCTGAGTGGGGTATTCACGTGAAACTGCGGCATGGTATCTCAGTGAGGTAGCACTATAAATCGGCATCAGTCCGGACTAGTACAAGCAGCCACACAAACACACACACGTGCATGCACGTCGCTATATAAGTGCAATAATCTTGGACGCGACGTTAAACCCCATTTCACCTCACCTTTTGTGGAGGAGCATTTCGCGCCCTTAAACGCCTCATTCCGAACAGTCAGCACCGTACCCGTGCTCGTGGGTTTCACCGAAGTGGTAAACGTCTGAGACCTGCATCACTTCGGGCTTTCCTCCCACATTAAGCTGACACGCCGTGATATAACTGGAATACTGTTAAAAGCGGCGTTAAACCCAACTCACTCACTCACTCACTCACCCACTGGCTCACTCACAAATATTTGATGAATGTCATTATTGCTCTATTCATTATTGCGTTATTAATCATCCTTATCACCTTATTTTGAGTAGTCGAAATGGAAATAGCCATAATGTCAGTGAGACGATTGAAGTTGGTGAGGTGATGGGTGTGGCGTTCAAGTTGACTGCGCTTATTTAGCGACGTGCACATAATGTTTGTGTGGTTTTCTTTCTGCTCGTATTAGTCTGGACTGATGCCGGTTTATAGTGCTGGCCCACTGAGATAGCATGCAACAGTGAACATGGATACCCCTCTCGGACACTGTATACTGACTCAAATCCTTGTTTTACCTCCCTTGTCGAACGGTAGGCAGGGAAACAACAAGTAACCTTTTTAGCGACCTTCCGCTCCCCGTCCTGACGCTGTACCTACTGGACCACAGCGGTGGTCCATGATGATGGGGAGATGAGGATGATAGTGGCGTGCAATACATTTAGTTATACAGTGGTGATATCAAAAGTCAGTGATAATAATTTTACTCACCCACACTGCAAACACGAAAACGTCGTTTTTTTTCCCGTATATGGTCATTGGACGGAAAAACGACGTTATTTGGACGCTTTCGAACCATCGTTTTTCCGTCCAAATGACGTCGTTATTTGACATCGGAAATTACTGGGAGAGAACGATATCATCAAGCTCCTCCCTTTCTTGATTGGCATTGTCAATCAAGCAACAGCGTCTACCGGTATTCCTACTTCTCAGATTTCATTGTTAGATTACAGGCCCGAGTTTGACGCTGTATTCGAAGCGCTGAGCGGAAGTACTGAAATCAATCGTTCTGCGCCTGCGGATTGCTTAATGCCTTGTCTAAATTTTCCGTTCTGTGCATGCGCGACTTCGCGTATTGTTTCCACTATGTCACCACTATTTGACAGTGATTCATAAACACAGTCTCGTGATGAGTTCGGAATCGTACAATGTCGCTTTAATTTATGGCACCTACTTGATCGGCGCATATTTCCCATTAACAAATACAATGATAACGGTAATAATTTTAGTCAAAATAATTAGGAAAGCGCAAGGCTCAGGAACGTCTGAGTATAGGAAAAGGATTTATACTTTCGAAAGTTACTCGTCAAATACGCAAAAGAATATCAACCGGCTTTTAAAACTTATTTTTGTAGAAGGTGATCTTGGTGTTTATTGCCAGATAGAATATGCATATACATTTTCCAGATATTGCTTATTTTAATGTTTATTAATAGTTTTAAGGTTCGTCCGCCTAATTGACGGGATTCCACTTTCTCATTTGTACATGACACTTAAACAGTGTTCTGTTACTGTAAACAGATTACTTTCAAATTCCAAACTGGTGATATCTATTCAGACTAATGCTTAGTCTCTAAAACTGTATAGTTTTGAAAGAAACAAGTAACTCTATTTAAATTGAAGAGGAGACCCAGTTATATGGGAGATTCCGAGATGAACCTACTCTATGGATATCTAAGCTGCCACCCAAACCGACCCAAACGGGACCCGAAAGCTTATTGTATGCTATATAGTCACATGGAAGTGCACTAGAATTATACATTGTATTCCGGACGATTGTGTTCTTTCATCTACTTTTAAATGTTGCCTATACACTAATCTGGACGTACTAGTCATTGTTCTATTTATGTCATCCTATTATATATATATATTTATATCAGATATACATTAACGCATGTTACCATTCTAAAGTCATACTCTCATATAACCTTATATTGTTCAAAGTATCAAAGTTTATTCAACAACATCAAGAACAGCAAGTTAAACTACTGAAACACCCAAACACAAGGCTGTTATCAAGCGCTGGTGCAGACGTGATGCATCGTAAAAAACTGTATCGTGATGTCTTCAGAAATACAATTTCTTGCAACATTTATACTACGAGATAGTAAGGCTAACGCTTACTCACTGGTGGAACGTAGACAATATCGCTAATACAGATATCACGTATTTGAATGTTAATACTAAAGACAACACTCATTATTTTTGCAGTGACGATATAACACTTATACACGTTTATTGGTGACTTCATCAGTTTTGCTACTAATTTTAATAACTTTGTTTTCACATATACAAGTAGCAATACCCGACTAGCCTGTCATACATACTTATGGGGCAGTTTTCAATCTTGTACTGACTTACTCTGGTGTTCCTGAGGGGAGGTTATTGGCTTGGGTGTTATACCCCGTTTTTCTGGTAATCCTATTATTACTTCATTTTTATCTAATGACACCCTGTTCTCTGGATCACGGCTCCGTGACTATCCATAACAATTAAGATGAACATTCAGATCAAGTACATGAATGAGTTTGTTTTGACGCCACAGTCAATCAAAGACCAATGCTTTGCGGTTTGATTACACACTTCTACCAGGTCGAACATCGTGGATCTTTTTCTACCTAAAGAGAATCATAGTTCATATGCTAATCCATCTCTTGCCTAAGAAAACCGTCCCGCTCAAGATGACCTTACTTGTTGTTAAACCCATTAAAATGCGCTGAAATGTGCGTGTCAAGAACAGCTGATATCCGATGCTGAAGAACCGTGTTCACAGCTGACCGACTTGGTATTTTTCTGCACTGACAGAAACTGGATGTACTGACACACAGCTGTTATAGATATTTAACTAACCCCTGATCAAATAGATGCCCTTCGTTAATCTCTGTGTCGAGTACCGTATATACCTGTGATAACGACACCGGTGGCGATGCTGATGGTGGTGGTGATGATAATGATGGTGACGACTATCATTATGGTGATGATGATGATGATGATTATGGTGATGGTGATGGTGATGGTGATGGTGATGGTGATGAAATGCTGATATCCTTGCATTTTACAGTGGTGATAAATATTATCTGTGATTGCAAACTTTAACATTTGCAAAATGAAAACACATTAGGTTGATCATATGATCAAGGCCGCTGGCGTTGCCTAGTGGTAAAAGCGTTCGCTCCTCGTGCCGAAAGTCCAGGTTCGATTCTCTGCATATCATAGGCACAATGTGGGAATCCCCCGCCGTGATATTGCTGTAATATTGCTAAGGCGGCGTAAAATCCGACTCACTTAAACTCTCATAAATCACTGTGCCATTGCTAACCAAGGTTCTGCAGATGGCACCGGAGTATGTCAAGATTCAACTCTCGGTTGGTCTTCTTCTATTATATCTCACTAGGTGGCGCTACTGGCTTCGCTAGGTCGTTCATTCATCCACAGGGCTGTGTACATGAATGGCGGCACTTTCTTAAAGCGGTTGTCAAGTAGGAGTTTATGTCATGGGAAGTTCACCTCAACCGATTCCAGCAGTCCTGCTTTTATCTGATCCATTGACCTAAGTTTGTGGCTCTGTGACAACACGTACAAAAGAAAGTCTTTGTACAGGAGATGCAATGGGCTATTCATGGCATATCACAGGCTTTTATGGATTGTGAACCGGCCTCGCGATATCTAATCCGCTGTCCTCGCACAGAAGAAGGAGAGAAGAAGAAGAAAATTATTTTATTATAGTGCCACCTGGTGTTTAAAGACAATAAAAAACATTACACGTATACATACGTATGATATATAAAACATCAGCCGACCCATGAAGGATCTATGAGGCACTCAAAATCATTAAATTATCCATTATATAAATTGGCAAAAATAATACACGAACATAATCGAAAGCACACACACACACACACACACACACACACACACACACACACACACACACACATACACACGCACGCACGCACGCACGCACGCACACACACACACATAAATGTTACACACATTTCATTTTCAATCACACATGGAAGTTCACCACATCCACTCAATATCACGTGCGCATACATCACAAACAAACACTGCCCACATACTCATCTATCAATCACAAAAACATACACATTATATACATCACTGCCCGGCACGTTGTCGCCGGAGGTTTACACAAGCTGACACACTGCATAAGGAAGCGAAGTTGATCACAAGGGTGGAA